ACATGGACTCTGTCTCCAAAGCCAAGGTACAGAGTTTATGTCAGGTTGCTGCCTTATGATACATGGCCTGGTGATTTTGAACCTTCTGATTACATTTTTCATCAATCAAACAATTTTTCATCATGAGAACAGCCTATTGTGATAATTCTCTTCCCTGACATATATTTTACACATAGGCAAACCTGGAAAAAATGTGTCGCACACTGGAAGATCAGCTAAGTGAGATCAAGACAAAAGAAGAGGAACATCAGCGCATGATCAATGACCTCAATACTCAAAGAGCTCGTCTGCAGACAGAAGCAGGTAACACACCCCCACACCCCTCTGGAATGGGAGAACCTGTAACCAATGGTGACAAGAAGAAGAGTTATGTTTTACTCAACTTTCTCTATATTCTGTAAGCTGCTATGCAGTGCTTTAAAGACACATTGGGTTAGTATCGCTTTTTAAATTGCAGTCTATCTGTAATATTTCTCAGGTGAATATTCGCGCCAGGTGGAAGAAAAAGATGCTTTGATATCTCAGCTGTCCAGAGGCAAGCAGGCATTTACTCAACAGATTGAGGAACTAAAGAGACATTTAGAGGAAGAAATAAAGGTAAAGGTAGTTCCTGTAGGGCATTTGACTTCGGATTCAGTTTCCATTTCCTTTCAGGATATTTCCTACTCTCAAAAAAATTCAGAATACGTTAGCCATGTCATTTTAATTTGGGAGCTCTCAAACTAGACGGGAAATTTTGCCATCTCCTTCTCTAGTGTGGGAAGAAAAGTTGAGGAGGGCATCGCTTCAAGCAGGATAATGAGACAGGGAAGGACAACTTTAGGTCTTTATTTGGGTTACTGATGGCATATAAAAAAGTTTGAGATATAGCTAAAAACCTGCATTTCTTATTCTTTTTATGTAAGGGAAACTGAATCTTTAGAACATATTGAAAAGGATTCAATGTTTCCCAGCTTTATAGTTGTCATTTAGAGTTTACCCATCATCTCTGCTGAGGTAACACTCTACATTCTGATGAATGAAGTGATAAGAAGCTTCTCAGAACATGGAAGCAATGTACCTTTTTTCGTTGGTCTGACTTCGAATGTCAGGTTCAAAGAATTTTCAACAACTTTCCCTAAGTTACCATTCTGTTGTCTTACAGGCAATTCATTGTTCCAATCCCAATGTCCCCATAGGCCAAGAGCGCCCTAGCCCACGCCTTGCAGTCTGCTCGCCACGACTGTGACTTGCTCCGGGAGCAATACGAGGAGGAGCAGGAAGCCAAGGGGGAGCTGCAGCGTGCCCTGTCCAAGGCCAACAGCGAAGTGGCCCAGTGGAGAACCAAATATGAGACGGACGCTATTCAGCGCACGGAGGAGCTGGAGGAGGCCAAGTAAGTGGTGAGAGGATGCAAAGAAGACAAGGGGAACTGAAAATTGAAAGTTGACATTGGAAGTGACAAACCTAGATGTTCTGAGGAATAAGTCAAACATTTGTTTTGGGGAAATGTACAGAAAGAGGAAATATTTAACTTACAGAAGGTTTAGTGTTTCAGTAAAGGCAAAGGCTAAGAATCACATAAAGGAAGCCCTTAACTCTGTATGACTGCAGACTGCAAAATGATTAAGCAAGCTCTTGTAAAAAGCACACTGCTTCTTCTGTTCAAACGGTGAGCTCTGTTTACATCTCCCAGGAAGAAGCTGGCACAACGCCTGCA